CCTGAAGAAATGGTTCGGAGGAAAGAAATTCACCACCAGAGAGCAGCTTATCGCCGAAAGAGGCTTATTTTGAAGGATTGAACAAATCATTATTCGGACAGCTTGAAAAAATTGAAGAATCATTGGATCAAGTGTATCGAGCTCAAAGGAGATTATGTTGAGAAATAAAAATGAATCGATCAAAAAAAATGTATTTTTCTAAAAACTTATTGACTTACCCTCGTATATTACATATCGTATGGTAAGTTTCAAAGTCTGTCAGACCGAGCTCGCCATTGCTCAAATCTACGGCTGGAAAGTAGTAGACCGTGAGAGTTCTACTCTTACCGGTCAGCATAAATGTCAGTGACATGTTTGAATGTATACTGAAAACATTGCAATGTCAGTTCTTAAATTGATCGTCAACCATCTGTAAAAATTGGAGACAGTTGTCCACAGTTATTTTGATCGTAACATTGATAAGGCATGCGATTATATTCAGTTTGCGTCACATCTAGATCGTATCAATTCCTTCGACCGTCGAAGATTGCCGAAACTGTTAAAGTAAATAGCACTATCTCCCCGTTTCGTGTATGCCACTCAATGAGTACCTGGTTCCTCAATATTAATCGAATTTACGAACTTCGTTTCGATATACTTTTCCTATTGGTAATGTAGTACGCATAAAAATATCTGTAAAATATAGAATGTATAAAATATGAAATACGTTTTGCCAGTTGTTGCAGTTGCACATTGATAATTATATACTTTGACATTTTTATCATTTCTTTTTAAATCATTTTTTTTTTTAATTTTTTCCGTGAGATTCCTCATTTATGCTTATACGGACCGAGATAAACTTCATGACCTTCCATAACGCGATTGTATCGTTTCAGTTCTTCCAATTGATGTTGTGCGGTTTTGTTTATATCTTTTACAACTTCTGCCGCGCTGCTGATCAATGACTCTGAGCAGCGGTAGATTAAGTATGATACCACTGCGTTTTGCTACCGTGAGTATTCGCTTTTTCATTGGCTTCTGTTTCTTCTTTATTTTCAAACTCATATCAACTTTCGTCTTGTCCTTCATAACCGCCCAAACGACTGTAGCAGCAGCTCTCTCTCAAGAGTCGAGTCTTTTGCGGTAATGCGTTTCCGCGTCTTTTCGGCGAGTATTTGTCAGCTACGTGTCGTTTCGCGAGATCTTTGCTCCACGAATAAGCTATATCGTGATCACGACATGCTGCGCCCAATGGATTAATGCCTCGATTGCCTCTATATAATCGCTTTTCTGAATGCATTCCTGGACCACAGAATTGATATCCGGGGATATGCAATTCGAATGGAAATGCGTTTATCGTGATTTAAAAGACCTTTTGTTGTTGACATTTGTCACAACTTTTTATAAACGGTGCCGGATCATCGATATGCGATCAATGACAGGGTAAATTATAGTGTTTCAAGTACCGATGATGTTGCTGAATCTCTAAATCAGCCTTTATATGCGGGGACAATCTGTTCCACGGTTAATCTATAATATATAATTCTTAAACTCTCGTGTAGCAAATAATTTTCAGTATATATTCCAAATTTTTGGCAGCTAAATAATATACATCGCAGTTGTCCGACACGGTAAGAAATATTTTCATTAATGAGCAGTTTAGCTATACGCGCTTCTATGAATAGGTTCGCTATCGATACAATTTTTCAGTTTATATCAGTTTCATGGAGGGGTAAAGAGATGAAGTTCATACGATAATTGCAAATGATCAAAGTGATTAATGTCGACAACAAAGTACAGACTGAGAAAGAAATGCGCAAGCATGGAAACATGTTGCCGATTTCTACGTGGTATTATCTATGGGCAAAATAAACGTGTTGATAAGTTTACTGGAAAGTCCACACGGTGCACGCTTCGAGAACGTGTACGTGTACTCGAAGTCATTGTAATAGCCAAAATATCGATATTTAGAGAATTTATTAGCCCTAATTAAAGAAATTGGTTATTTTACATTCTCCAACAACAGTGATGTCGTTTCTCTGAACGATTTCCAAATTCCATTTTTATCTTTGACGACGTGGCATGCAATGAGCAAGACGCGATCAAAGAGTACTTTTGTGATTGGCCGACACGCGAACTATTTTCTATTTTCTCTGTCAGACGTATGCAAAGATACCGAAGCATCTTATACGTGATAATATATACGTGCAAATCTGTTGATCCTGGTCAAACAGGATACCAATCTGAAGCATGTATACAATGACCATATAAACACTGACATGCCTTACGAGGATTTTTACGAACTGTGTCGCTGTTGTTAGCAGCAAAAATATGGGTTTGTAGTGATAGACAAAGACAGTGCGCTCACAAATAGACAATACAGAAAAGGATTTAATGAATATGCGATATCGTAACGTAGTTATCGGTATGTCAACACAACGTTTCCTCTCGAGTATAACATGGATAGCAGCAAGGAGTTGAAGGATCATGAGAGAGTAACGAAGCAGATTATGAAAACTAGTGATCCAATTCGTAAAAAGTTTTGCGCTTTGAAAACTGATAAAATAGAGGAAGATGTAGCGTTGGAGAGGCATTTCAAGCCTATTGTCGAACCTCTGAAACAGATTGCCGGAAACACTGCTGGTGAAGATCTCAACCGATTAGGAAAGAAGTCAATATTGTGAAAAACATAAATATTGAGAAAAGAAAATCTGAAGACAACGAAGATGATGATGATGATGACGATGATGATAATGATGGCAATAGTTTCTAGATAGATAATATATGGTTTCAATTAACACCGTCGTCTAAAAAGCAACGCACAAAAAAATCGAACGTCATGTCGGATTCACACAATTCTATATCGAGTGTCACGTAAATTATCGTACATTATATCTTAGTCGAAGACGTTAACGAAACACCCAATGACCGTTTGAAAGCGGTTAGTTAAACAGTCTTTGCAAACGCAACGAATTCGTGAGGAGCATAATTAACTAGGATTGCTGGGACAAAAATACTAAGTGTAACAAAAATACTAAGGATTGCTGGGAAAAATGATAAGTGTAACAATAGAGCAACGAATTGTTGTGAAATTTCACGTGAAACTTGGAAAAACCGCTACTGAAACTTATAATTTATTGAAAGAAGTGTATGGCCATGAATGTTTATCGCGTGCACGTGGTTTAAGCGTTTCCAAGATGGCCGAGAAGACGTTGAAGATGATTCACGTCGCCTTTCCACGTCAAAAACGGATGACAATATCGAAACAATCGGTAATCTGGTTCGATCCGACCGTCGGTTAAGTATTCGTGCGATTGGTGAAACTGTAGGAATTGACAAAGAATGTGTACGGCAAATTTTACATAACAATTTTAACATGAAAAAAGTGTCTGCCAAAATGGTACCTAAAATTCTCACGTTTGAACAACAAGAAGCTCGCAAAAATCTTAGTACTGACACTTTAAATGCCATTGAAAATGACCCAAACTTATTGGAAAGGATAATAACATTAAATTAAAATAACATAAAATTAAAAGGAACAAGATTTGAGTCCGTTGAAAGAGAAAGCGGCACGCGTCCTGAAGGAACTGACAGAAGAAGATTTTCAGCACTGTTTCAAACAATGGAAGATTCGCATGGAGCGTTGTAGATAGAGGAGGGGTGTATATTGAAGGTGATAATAAGTAAATATGTATGAAATCAAAATAAAATGTTTTACAGCGTCAGTCTCATTATTTAATAGCCACCCTCGTACATCAGTGATGCCAGACATGCACTCGCGCATGCGCGTTGTTTATAGCTTAGCGCGCAGTGCTGTAGCCATTAGGTTAGGTCAGGGGCTCCGCACAATGAAAGAAACAGGGAACAGAGAACAGAGAATAAGAATTTCAATCTATCAGAAATTATTGTGGAATACACAATCTAATAGGTTGAAATTCTTATTTTCTGTTCTCTGTTTCCTGTTCCTTTTATTGTGCGGAGCTTCTTAAAGTAACCATGTGGTGCCGTATGGACCGCGAAGTCTGCGCGCCAAATCAGACAACAGAAGGAGCGAGGAATCCCAAGAGGAAAATAGAAATGAGGAAAAGTATTTTAGGTCAGAAAATGAATCGCAATGGAATCAGAAAAAAGGCCCAAAAAAGATATGTATCCGAAAATTTAAAAGATTTTGGTTAAACGAAAATATCTTTAAAGATTGGTTGACAGAGAATGATAATAAAGCTTGGTAAAATTTGTAATATATCATTTAAATGTTGTCGATATAATTTATCAAGGTCGAATCAGTTTCTCTTCTATAGATAACGTAAATAGTGTTAATGTAGAAATTGATACCTTACAATAAGAGGTATGTCTAATTTCTATATATTTATGATTATATTTCTCTTTGGGGCAACTAAGAACGCTAGTTTCAAACGAATTAGTTTACTGGCGCTTTAGACTGCGCGCATGCACGAGTGCGGGGCATGTCTGACATACATAGATATATACGTACATACATACGTACATACGTACATATGTACATATACATACATACTATACATAGTGTTACGCCCGTGCCGTGCCGACACCGTAGATCGTCACTCGTGAAGTGCTAAAAGTCTGTGGGAATAAGTGACTCAATGATAAGTCAGATTCTCTAGACAAGCCCACGCTTGTCGTGTGATGTGATATAGAAAATAATAATCGAGACTTTATTTATAACTGGTAATAATAATCTTTATTTCACGAGCACAAATTAATATGACCGTACAAGATGAACACCTTTATCGATCTGTTGTTATAATTTTTCTTTTTTTTTATTTTTACGCTGCTAGGCAACTCGCTACCTACGTAATCCTTAAGCTTTCTACACTCGCTGCGCTAGTGAGGTATTAAGAATTCCCCACATACTCCCCCCCGAGTGACAACGAATCCTGCACTTAAGTCTACCTTATAAAATATATACAACGTGTCATACAAAATATCTTATAAGTGTCTGACTAAAGTTAATTACATTTTGTCGTTGGGAAGATTTATCAAAATTATATGGCGAGAGTCACTTTCCTCTTCGGGCGCGCATACGTTCTCAAAGTTGGTCGCTCGTTGCTAGACGAATTAGCTGCTTGTCCTGCTTCTAGAATCGCACTACACAAATCATTGCGTATGCCATACGCTGGCTCCAAATTCTCGACTGATACACTGTGCTGTGCACCATTAACTTCAATACCGAAAACTCGATTCGAAACATAACGATTTATAACCTTATGAGGGCCGGTGTAGGGACGCTCTAATGTTCTCTTGGTACCGCCCACTCGTAGAAAAACATGGGAACATGAATATAAATCTTTAAATACGAATGCGCGTTTCTTGTGCTTATGCTCTATCGAGATTGGCTTAACTTTGCGCATATGCTCGCGGAATTCCTCTATGAAAATTTGCGGACTAGGAGTGAAATCGTCCGGCAGTATAAATTCTCCGGGGACGCGCAGTGTCGTTCCATAGACAAATTCCACAGGCGATGCGCCGGTGTCAAGGCGGACATAAGTACGCAGACCTAATAATACGGTCGAAAGTACTCATGACCAACCTTCATTAGCATGACACATAATAGCAGCTTTTAAGCTTCTATGCCACCGCTCGATCATACCGTTCGAAGCGGGATGATACGCCGTGGTACGAATTCGTTGACAGCCGATCAGCTGAAGAAATGCCGTAAAAAGTTATGCTTCAAACTGGCTACCTTGATCAGTAGTTACCGTTTTGGATGCTCCAAAATTTGCTACCCAGTTGTCGTAAAACGCGCGTGCCACTGTAATGGCTTCAATGTCTTTCAGAGGTATTGCTACTGGCCAACGCGAAATCAATCATCGTCACACAATATCTGTACCCGTCCGACTCAGGCAAGGGACCTATTAGATCCATGTGAACGTGCTCGAAACGCCCGTCGGGTGCGACAAATTTTTCAGGATGTAATTGAACGTGTCGGGTTATTTTTGATTGCTGACAGTCAAGACAATTCTTACACCATTTTATAATATCACGATGCATGTTAGGCCACACATATCGTTGACGGATTACCCGATCAGTGACTTTAGGGCCCGGATGAGCCGCGTCATGGAACAAATGGAAAACGCAATCTCGTAAAAATGCCGGTATATAGGGACGAATTGCCTCGCCGGTCATTTCGCAGTAAAGTATAGTATGCGTCGGCCCCCATTGAATTCGCTTCATAAAAAGCGGAAAATCAGGAGATTCGCGAATAGATCGTAGCTCCTCGTGTTATTCTTGTTTCTGTGCAAGCTCATTAAGTTTGATCTCGACAGGTAAACGAATGGCTTCGATGCGGGAAAGGGAATCCGCCACAATATTATCTTTGCCCGATAGGTATTTGATACGCATAGTGAACTGCGAGATGAACGAAAGTTGTCTCTGTTGCCGAGGTGATGCTTTTTCAGAACGTTGCATAAACGCGTAGATGAGAGGCTTGTGATTGCAATCTTGAAATTTCGCCCTTCGAGTAAATAACGAAAATATTTGATTGCCTCGGCGATCGCCGTAAGCTCCCGATCGCACTGTAGTTCTGTTGTGCCGAATTTAATTTGCGTGAAAAGAATGCGAGCGGTTTCCACGAGTCGTCTAAACGTTGTTCGAGGGCGGCCCCGATGGCGAAATCTGACGCGTCACAAACGAGGCGCGTCTCGGCTGCGTCGGAGGGATGAGAGAGTATAGTCGCGTTGGCCAGACTCTCCTTGCATTCATTGAACGCTTCTTCAGCCATCGGCGTCTATATGATTGGCCGTTTGTCATTTTTTCGTGAATCGCGAAGGTACTCATTTAATGGTGCCTGAACGATAGCTGCATTATGTAGTAATTTACGATAAAAGTTGACAAGCCCAAGAAAACGACGCAATTCGACTATAGTGTTAGGCCTTGGAAACTCGCGAATAGCCTGAATCTTATCGAGTGTTTACATCCTTCGCTGTTAATCGTAAAGCTGAGGAATTCTAATTCCTGCTTGCCCATTGATTTACATTGAGTCGTAAATAAAACTTTTTTAATCTGCTGTAACATTATGCGTAAGTGAGCTTCGTGCTCTTCAAGAGACGTCGATGCTATGAGTATGTCGTCGATGAATGCAAACACAAATTCCAGGTCGCATAGAGCGCGGCAGATTTGACGCTGAAATGTTTGACTCGCGTTTTTAAGATCGAATGTCATGAATTTATATTCGAACAGCCCGAAGGGCGTAATGACAGCCGTTTTCGGAATATCTTCCGAAGCTCCACTGGAATTTGATTGTATGCCTGATACAGATCTAGCTTAGAGAAAATAACTTTCCCACGCAAATTAGAGGAGCAATCGTGCAAATGCGGTACGGGAAATTGATCCGGCACGGTAATTGCGTTAAGACGACGGTAATCGCCGCAGATCCTCCACGATCCGTCTTTTTTCGGTACCATGTGAATGAGACTTGCCCATGGACTACTGGACGGACGGCAAATACCGGCCTTGACTAGCCGTTGAAATTCAGCCCTTGCCGCTTT